TAAGTGATTAGAGCAAACAATACATTTTCTAGAAAATTTCTTTCTACATTTTTACAAATTCAACTACATGGAGTTCTTGATTTTGTATGTGTGTTTGTGTGTGTGTGCACATGTGTTTGCATGAGACATAGTGCTCATTTGTGAATGCACACCCAAAATGACACTCATTGCAAGTACTCACAGTCAGATTTGCAGATGAATAGGCCAAAGCAAGCTGAAAATAAAGAAAATATACACATAAGAATGAATGCATTTACGGCATATGCACTGTGACACTTCACAATGGTAATAGTAATAAAATAAACTAACAGCTGTGAATATGCATATTTAGAATATTTTGTGGTGCAAGAGGAATGGTACTGAAATTAGGTTTGCATACCAGCCTGGGATTAGGAAACATCCAGAGCTACTGGGATAGCTTATGTAGTTATTAGCGCAATAACGTCTGAAATTACCTACCCACCAGTGACAAAATATAATATTACTACCCAGAAAAGTGACTCAGTTTGTATTAATAAGCTTGTTCTTTGATTTCTGGGAGGAAAAACCTTTGATCAGCTAGAATTCACATGCATGAACTACAACACAGACTATTAGGGGCACTGAACAGGACCAGGAAGCAACCGCATGATGTAACGTCCTGAAAGAAATTTTAAACCTGCCTCGTAATCACTTGTCTGACTAAGGCTAATTTTCAGTCTTTTAGTATGAAACTGCATTCAGAATAACCTGCAATGTGTTACAAACGTATCCAAAAAATCCAATCATCATTCTCCTGAATATAAAACCAGATTATAACCAGTATAACCTTTACACAGTACATTTGCTGCTCAGTCTCTGACTAATTTTTACCTGATAACCATCTCTTCAGCCTTGTGTTCCATGTACATATTTATCTAGGCATCTTGTGTAACTAATCGAGTTGCACCCATCCCTCCATCTTTTAACTGTTTGTGCTGGTCAGGGGTACATGACAGACAGGGATCCATCATTCTAAACAGAAAATATTACAATTAATTAGAATGTATGTTAAACTTAATATGAGGTTAGAAGGAACTGATACTGTAAATGTGTGCTGATACATATGAATATTAATTTTATTCAATTAGAATATAGAGCATATTGGTCTCAAATTTTACCCCCACTCTCTAGACCGTGTTAGCAAACTGTCCTATGCGCCTCCCTGAAGTCAATATGTCTAATGTAGGATGTACTATATTATACTGCACTGTAATGTACGACACTGTACTATACTATACTATACTATACTATACCATACTATACTGTTAATCTATGCTATGCGATACTATATACTATACAGTATTACGCTATGCTATGGTATACTGTGTTATGCTATGCCATGCTATGCTATAGTATACTACAATGTGAGTCATTTGGCAATCACCAGATCATCAGCAGTAAATGTTGCCAACCGTTGGCTCATATAGTTAGACGTAGTGAGACACCAGGAACAGAAACTGATCACTAGAAAACAACTTTTCACCAGAAGTTACATGTGACGTGAAGATGTATTTCAGCTCACTCCCCATACTCAGGATCTATGAAGGTTTTTGAGCTGCAGACATATAAGCAAGATTAGAAAATTGTCAAAAATGACACAAGAACAAGCTAGAAAACAATCACTTTGAACAGAATTGGTGATTTTATGCATAAATGGTGAGTGGTTTTGTCAATCATCAATTATTCCATTTGCAGTATCTACATGAAATTTCACGATAGAACTCAGTGTGCATTGAATGAAATGCTAACATTTGAGTGTGGACCAGCAAAGCCATAAATAATTAATGATAAAGATGCCTACTGTAGTTAGCCTCACTGTTTCTGATATTGAAGTACTGAACACTGTGTGTTACATTTTATGTTCAAGATTTATTGGAATTCTTGGTTGTGTGTGTGTGTGTATTGGCTTTAGCTTATATAGTAGGCTTAAGAGTGATTTAGAATAGAGAAAACTGTAGAGACTACACTTACTGTATAAAGCTGCAGTGTAGCACTCAGTAACCTCCACTATGTATGTTTGCGCTGGTTGCAGGAACATCTGACCCATCTGCTGAATACATATCTGCTGAAAAAAAGCCTTGAACAGTCAAGCATGGTAATAGATCCTCTCCCCGCCTGTCTCACGTGGGAAACATCAGTCCTGCCTTCCACAGGCCTGATAAAAGGCAATGGCTGGAGTCTAAATCACAGCCTGCAGAGCGGCCATTTTTGCAAGAAGGTTCTGCTTGTGTTTCATACCAAATAAAATATTTATTTTATTTGATTTTATTCATGTTCAGTGGTATGCTGTCTGGGTTAGACACCAGCCCTGTGTGATGCAGATAAGGGTTAGTGACAGTAAGATGGATAGATGGTTTTGGGAAGATAGTTTTAAACAACTTAGCAGATACAAACAAAAAATCTGTATCTATTCACAAGAGATGCAAAAAAAAAAAACTAAACTTCTTATCTTTTATTACAAGTGTCCCTTAAATAAATTGAAATTGGTATGAAGATGAGTCGGAATGCATAAAATTTTTAAAGGAACACTTTCTGAAAAACAATTTTAATTTCGCGATGCAGCCAATCAGAGGCGTAATCAGACGTAATTAAGAGCTCAGTAGGGGAGGGAGTCACTAGCCACAAAGCATCATGCCGGGACCAGAGCTGAGCAGCACTTACCTAAAGCAATTTCTCAAGAAATCATGAGTCATTAACATTGTGAACGGCAATGTGTGAGCAGCATTGGAGTAGTGAAATTGGTAATGAAATAGTACTGAGGCTGGCTACTCATGGTGGACAGCTCTGTCATCTAGTGCTTTCAATTCCCACCCTCACTCTGCATATGGGTAGTTTGTTTGGGTATTTTTATGTGCAGATTTACATATGTCTGAATGCCCGGAAACGGCGTCAAGAGACATAAGGCCATAGCACTATGGCCTGAGCCACTCTGTCACCGTTTATGTTCTGTGAGCCTGGAACCGACGCCAGGCTGCACCGGGCTGGGGGAAGAGGACACCATGGACGACAGTCCAGTGGAGGACGAACACCGGCCATCATGCAAGGGTGAGGCTAACCACTTAACGACCATACCACAATCCACGTTTAAATATCATGTTTGTTATTTAATATGCTCAAAACATACAGTATGTAGTCAGCCAGTTCTTATCACTTAATGTCTTTACATGTGTGTTCCACAAAGCCTCAACTTTCCAGTAGAATATGCTTTCCTTCATTATCAGAACTAGGAATCCTGGAATCTTTATGGGAAAAAACTCAAATAACCAGCTGGATCTGGGTCTAACCACACAAACAATAATAAAGTTTTTTTTAAGAAAAAAATGATATTTTTCATTGAGTGACAGGTTTTTGTAATTTAGGTCATTACAGAAATGTATTTCCGTCACACAGGCTATGGTGTGAGAGCCAGAGAGACCAGGAGACTAACAGTCGAAACATCATCATCATCATTTTCCCACCACTTGTCCTGGTGTGGGCCGCGGTGGCAGCGGGCTGAGCAGGTTACAGCAGATGTCGTCTTACATGGCCAAATGGTCAGAGGAGGCCAAAGGTACGACATCACCTACAAATAGCAAGGATGTCACTTTTAGCCCCCCGTGCTGCACGCCCTTCAGTCACGGCTGGGCCCTTACACCCTGATGATGCTGCTCAAATTGGCTTTGATTCTGTGCCAAGTATGCAGACTCAAGTCCTGCTATGTACAGGGAGCAAACAGCACAGGCAGTGGCTCTGCAAGCCCATATGTCTGCAGCATTGCCCACAGTATATGTTGGGGCGGGCAGTCACACGCCTCCTCCAACTGCCCGAAGTAAACCAGACTGTGTAAGTGTAACTTCAGTCCTCACACAGCTGTGAGAGGGAGAAGAGTTGATCCACTGTTCCTCCTGATTCCGAGTTTTGACCGTCACACAGAGTCTCCTCTCCTGGACTCTGACGTAAGCTTTCCCAGGGAAGCTACGAAGTGTCACCCTCTTATAGATAAAACGCATCCCCCTTTTTTAAAAATAACAACCACTGAGTTCAGCATGTATTTCACCTACTCATGCAGCCTTTCCACTACACGGGCTTCTGACCACCAAAACAGCTTCATCTGAGTCCAATTCACCAGATTCTCATGAGTAAGCATGTGCACCAAGCTAAGAAGTTCCTCAAAGTGTTTTTTTCCAGTGCTCAACAACACCCTCCGAGTCTGCCAGCACCTCCCCACCCCAGAACTCAGCCAGAGCAACCTTCTGCCTACTAATCCTGGGGTTTGCCAACGCATCTCTGGGGGCTGTTAGTATTCTCTCTGCATGGGCTCTCCAAACACCTCCCACCTCAAACTCCATGAGCCTTCACTGAAGTTTCTGGCCTGGAGGCATTTTTCTGCTTTCTCAGGAGACCTCTGTGAAAGCATTTCTCTGAAGGTCTCCTTCTTCATCTCGACGGGTTCCTCCATCGCAAGGGATCCACTAGTGGATACTAGGGTTACCGCCATGAGGTTCCAAATCTTACCAATTCTTACCGCGCTGCTACTTGTGTGGCCTTGAACAAGTGTTTTTTCCAAAGGTGTAATTTGAGTTCAGCTCACCTAGAAGCTTCAGCCAAATATCTCCAACAAGCTTGAACTCATCCAGGTCATCCTCATCCATCTGGCCTCCACCCCTATCGCCAAACCCAACTCGCCAAATGATTGGTTGATAGCGCTGTCTCTTTCTTTATCCAAGTGCCTCAAACAAACAGCCTCAAGTCAACTGACACAACTATACAGTCGATCACTCATCTTTGACCTACAAATTTATAAACATCCTTGTATTTGAACGTGATGTTTATAATTCAGGGCTTCCACAGCAGTCTAATAACAATTCACCACTTTATATTCTTCCCAATCATGCTCCTGCAGGTATCTCCATCACTGAAGTCTCTCAGTAGGATCCCAAACCGTAGGTGGCCCCTATTCAGGCACCTCACCCACATTCTCTAAGAAGATTGGGTATTTTGAACTTCTGAGTGCCTACACATGAACAACAGTTAGAACGTTCCTCTCTGTAACTCGCAGCTCAACTCTCTTGTCCACCAGGAGAAACTCCCATTGCAAAGCATTCAATCTGGAAGGATTTCCACACCTGCCTCAAATTTTTCACCACTGTGAATTAATGAGTAGAAGAAACTCCACCCCCAATCAAGTGGGCTGGTCCTGGAGAACACACTGTG